CCATCTGTATCAGCCCAGTGGAAGTCTTTATTAGGATTATTACATCGGATTTCTTTTGCAGATAAACTTCAACCTGGTCCTGCTCCTCCTGATGGAGCTCCTCATGGCTGCCACGGTGATCATCTCGGCAAGATGCAGCGTGGAGCAGTGCACAAGGAAGGTGGGCCCACCCCCAAGTCCCAGGGCTGGGGCTGTGCTCTCTGCCCACCACGGAAAGCTCCCCTCCCCCCAGAAGGTTCAGCTCAGACAGCCTTCAGCCCCTCTGTGTTAGGGCAGTGAGGCACAGAAGGTTCAGCTGCACGTCTCTCAGTGTGTAACTCTCAGCACACTGCTCCCCAGTAATAACACCCTTGTGTATTGTCACACGCAAGGTCACATGCTAAAGTGTTCCAATGTCAGCACAGTTTGGGAATCACACACGTTTCCCTATGCCAGGAGGAAATGCCTGTATTTGCATTTCTCCTCTCCAGATTCACCAGCGACTTAGCAATGTTTAGATTTCAGAACCATCTATGTGAGGGGGCTGCTCACCCTGGCACTGGTGCCCCTGTGGCCCTGGGATGGACTCTGGGCACCACATGGCTTCATCGTCCAGGGGTGAAGACCCTTGTCACACTCACCCTTATGTCTGTCTCCCTCCAGGCTTCCACAGTGGACAAATCCAACATTTTGGATGAGGTGACCTTCCCTGCTCGGGTCCTGAAATCCTATTCTGTGAGAAACATCTCTTTCCCTCTTCTTAATTTATTCAATTAGGGATGAACACTTAGGTGGGAGGAATCCATCACATGTTTTAAATCAAGATCACAGAGATTTGACTGTGTAAGCCATGACTGTGAGGCTCTGAAAGCCATTTCATTCCGTAAATTATAAATCTCCACGCACATTGTTGTTGTTGTGATGTGCTGTGGAGTCAATTCTGACTCATACCGACCCTGTATAGTGTTTCCAAGGCTGTTAATCTTTACGGGAGCAGAAAGTCCCATCTTTCTCCCGCGGAACAGCTGGTCGTTTCGAACTGCTGGCCGTGAGGTTCGCAGCCTGATTCGTAACCACTACGCTACGCTACCAGAGCTCCACGCACATTACTAGTAACAAAATACCTTACCTTACAAGGCGCCACCACTATTCTTAATGTTTATGGGGCAGAGTTGTATTGATAGTTATTTTTCCCTAAAATTTATTTATGTTGTTCAGCTCACACACAGCAAACACACACCAATGCAGCCATTTTTACATATGTGATTTAGAAGCACTGGTTGCATACTTCGCGTTGCACAACCATTGCCTCGGTCGTTTCTAGAGCTGTTTCTCCCCATTAGCACCAACACACTGCTCCTTGATGCTGCTGTCGGATCTTTTGAGTTTATATTGTCTATTTAATTTGATCCTCTACACAGAGTTTCTGAGGCTATAAATTGTTTTTTATAGCATAAAGTCTCACCTTTCTCCCCTGAAGTATCTGGCTGGTGGGATCGACCTGCTGACCTTGTGGTTTGAAGTCCAGTGTTTATATTATGGAACCACTGAGATCCCAATTAAAAAAAAATGTTTTATTGTGAGTTATGTGATAGTTTCCATGGGAGAACATTAACTTTACATTCATCCTATAATATATCGTTTCATTGCTATGGTTACAATCCCCTCCATGCATCATCAA